ACCAAATTCGGAGGGGTCAGAACGGATTAACCGTATTTACATTGAACCTTATGGGAAATTTGATTCAGGTTGTGACCAATTCGGGTCGCGACCAGAGTCGCGGAACGAATTAAGTTCGTGACCCGAGGTACCACTGTATAGCCGTTCATTCAATCATTCATTCTTAAAAACTGTTTCAGAAAGAGAGAGAAGCAAGATTCTTAGACAGTGGAATGTCCAACAGACACCATGTTTTAACTGCAAATTTGCAAAAATGTACAATTCTGTCCTTAAAAACAATCTTTCTACTGAATATCACTTACCACACCCAGCAATCTTTCTCCATGGCTGAATCTTGATGCGGTTTGCTTGACACCTCTGAGCATAACTAAACAGTACTTCACACAGAATCTTGTGGCTGCCCTGGGTGGTGCAGAGGATCTTCACACAATCCTCTGCATAATACTGAGCTTCTGTTTGGTGAAAACAGTCTTTAAATGGCCCATTGATATCACGAATGAGTCCACAATAAGCCAGAGATCTGTATTGAGCCAGTTCAGTTTCACTGCAATTTGGAGAAGGCCCAACAGCTGTGCAGTGGAATGGGGAGCCAGAATCTTTCCAGCTGTTGCCAAAACTCTCTGGATCCTGAACTACAGAACCACTGGGAGTCCTGAAGTCATTGTGGCGATTCTGGTTGAAATCTCCACCAAGGCCACAGAGAGACCCTGAGTAAGTTTCAGGAACTGAAACTGACACACGATAAGACCAGTCATAGGAAACAGAGAGGCCCACATCAGTCTCAATAGTGAGGAAGGTGGCAGTGGCATAGGCATAGAGCTTTCCCATTGCAAGGGTGACAGGCAGATTCATTAGAAGGCCATTCACCTAAGACAAAGTCAGGGGAAGAAAGTTCTGGGTAAAATTCATAGCTGGATTTATTTATTTAATTAATGTGTACACTGCCTATCTCCCAGTGACTAGATAGATGGTTCAATGGATACATAATTAGATGGATAGATGGACACTTCTTCTCAGGTAACTGTAACCTTAGACAGAAAAGGTTTTCTATTTCCAGCCCAACCTCCCAATGTTGAATGTTATTCTCCTGAAGAACTGAGTGGATGTTGAAGAACAGGTAGATGTTACTCAACACCAAGCCCAGGAAACACAAGACGTTCTCATTCATGATGGGTTAGTCTAGTCTAGGTTAATCGCATCAACCACTAGTAACTACACTGTGGGGTTCAAGCCAAACTCTCCTTCCTGTCCAAAAGTATAGCAGTTAAGTACTGGCCTGGGATCAGGGATACCTAGAATCAACTTCCCACTCCCCGATGGAACTCACTGTGTGACTGTGGATGGTCACACTCTCTTGACCCAACTTATTTCTCAGATTCTCAGGGCTGTTGTTGGGGGGTGGGGTGGAGAGAGAGAGAGAGAGAGAAAGATTCTTTCATAGAAACCTTGGTCCTCAGAGATCTTTCTACAAATGTAATTCTAATTTTATTTTTCTTTCCACACACATTTTACCACTGTATAAAGTAGATTCCCATGACTGAAAAAGACTACTTGCTCTGAAAAAGACTGAATGAAAAAGATTCAACTTGATCAACTTGTTAACAGGATTCACATTATATCTTTAACTTAATCAATGAACTATTTTAAGGTTGAACCAAAGTTAGTATGTTGTTGAATGCACTTCTTCTTAAGCTTGTTGTATAGACAGAGTGTAATGGGCTGTGAGAATAACCTTGAGGAATAGGAGGAAGAGCCGCACCCACCAACAGTTAGATAAAAGAAATTTGGGACCAAGCAGAAATGTAATTTGAGAAAATGTCTCAAACTTGACCCTCCCTAGTTTTCTTAAAGACAAAGGGAGGGAAGGGGAAGACACCTTCAGACTTGCAAGACTCTATTACTGTAACCTTGTAATAAAAGTAGTATTAGCCTTCATCACTTTGGTTTCCTAGTCTGGTCTACCTTAAAGGGCTGACACAGAGTCATTATAAAGCACTTTCTCAGATCCCACAGACATTCCAATGAAAACCAGTTAGAACTTACAATACTCTTACCTTTATTAAGCCATTCTGTCCTTCTGCTACAATTATTTGTTTCCCATAGATTTCAAGTTCCAACTGCTTTACCCAGGACACTGAGATGGAGCCTTTATGTATGTTTAATACTTGAAGCTTGAAGCCCACAAGCTTTCCTGGAGGGCCACAATATGAAATGAGGGTGTATTTGCAGGCCCCTTGAAAACTAAAGGCAACACCATCAAATGTGATATAGTTTGAAGGGCCATATAAATACATCATGCCAAATGTCACTGGGTAACAACCCCGTACGTCATCCACAACTTTGCACATTTCCTGAGCCTTGCAGGCATGTTCTTGACACTCCATTGGGTGAGCAGCCTGCCTACAGGTGCATCTTTGATTACAAGTGTCCGCCAGGATCACTTGTTCTCCCCGCTGGTAATAGCGGCCATTCAGTGTGCAGCCGCAGAGGTTCAGAGGCATGCAGACCCCACCGTTCAGAACATAGCCTTCCCTGCAGAAGCAGCCTGAGATACAGGGTTTTTTGCAAAGGGCAGGGGCCTGGAGATTGGCACACGTGGCAGGACAAGCTGGGCCACAGAAGTCATAGTACTGGTTAGCTGGACAGGTGATGCCTGAAAAGAAAAAGATCAGATGGGTTTGGGAACTCATCAGCCATCAAGCAAAGGAATCCAATGTTTTTGTAACACAAATAAACTAAGTTTGATAGTACAGAGATGACCACTGTCATTTCCAAGGGCAGATGTTACGTACAGATGTTGCACCTAGCCTTTCAAATATATCTACAGGCATTTACCAAATGGGAACCACCCTTCTTATCTTGCTTACTGCATCCTATTGCATGTCGCCAGTTCATCACCTTCACACCACTAATGGTGCACATCTCGTCATAAGCTTCGACGGCCATACAGAACATGCGATTGCCCAGTCCGTACTGACACAGGTCATAGATGCAGGATTCATAATACAAGTCTGGGTTATTGTGCCAGTGACATTCAGAGAAAGGCCCTGAACTGTTAATTAAGATTGCACACATTTGTTTGTACTTGTGTTGATTTGGACAAGGAACAAGGTCTTCGGTGTCGTTCTTACAGCTGAAAGAGATATGCAAAAGACAGAGAGTTACAACAGCATCATAACTCATCATCCAGGAGACTGAGCTGCACAGAAGAATACTAGCTGATCTATTAATTAAAACATTCTATACCACTCTTCTTCTGAAACACTGTTGTCCTGGTGTCTTCTAATGTATTGGAACCATCAGAATTTCTGGGTCTCCTGATTCCAGGGCATTCTAGCTTTTGACATGGAGGAGAAAAAGGATCATCCTACCGTACTGAGCTGGTGTTCGATATCCAAGCATTTCCAAACTGTGCATCACTCAGAGCTTTCTCTCCAGAGGGCAAAGTTTTATCATCAGTAGCATCACCATTGAAATTGCCACACATGCCACACAGCTGATTCTGATACTCTGGACCCACACGTATGAACACACTACTAGCCCCATTGAACTGGATTTCAACATTAGCTTTGGTTCTCACAGTCAGCATATTCCTCAATCTCAAGATCTGAGCAATCGATCCTACATGGGCTGGTAGTTGGGTTCTTCTGCCATTAACCTGCGGTAAAAGAAAGACTGTAAAAGTTTCTGTAATGCTAACTTCATCTTTGCTGAATGACTGGCTATGTTGATAAACAATGAGTTGATGGAAGTCTAGAACCGACGTTGTCAGCAGCAAAGTAGAGATGGTCTAGGATTTGGACTAATTTTTTTTAACAAACCCACTTCATTTGCTTTTCCCAAACTAATGTATGGCTCACAATAACAACAAGAAGATGTCACTTAGCCACAACTCACATGGACAGCTTTGCCTCGCTCAAGGAGAATATGGACACTCGACTGGTGTGTATAAAACCAGATTTCCACTCGGTAAGCAAAGGAAACTCTGGGATTCTGGAAGCGTCTGTTTGCAATGACAACTCGGAAAGAAAAATCCAGAGAGGAGTTGCAAGTGTGAGAGACCTCATAGTCGCAGATACCCTGGAAGTGCACCCTTGCACCATCAAATGTGAAATAATGAGGATCTCCTGTGACGACGCAGGTGGTCAAGAGACTGTGGCAGCCATACTGTCCCCCCTTCAAAGTGCACCACTGATCCCTCTTACATCGAGCTGGGAAACAGTAAAAATTGCCATGGGAGTCACAATTGCATTTTTTAGCACAACCAGGCAGCCAGATGTGCTCTCCAACCTGCATGGAGAACATAGAGGTCAAAACGGGAGATGCCGTGAGAACAGAGTGGATGTTTTTCAACTAATGTTGTGTTGACTAAAGGTCAGAAAGTTACGGAATTAAAACTATTGAGAAAATTAGATGTCTGATAAGGTTATAAATCATAATTTTACAAAATGGAATTGTGTTGGAATTCTATCTTGTAACATTTAACAGATAATTTCTTTGTTAATCACAGCCCAGACAGCTATTACTCCAGCTCAGAAAATGAAGTTCCTTGCTAATTGATAAATGGCACATTTAGATATGGCGTGCATGATCAAATTAACAAATAGGGGGTGCAAGAACAAAGGCAAGATAATTATTATTACAGAACAAATGAATCATAAAATTAATGGACAAGCTGAAATACATCCATATTAGGATTGATTCAATTCTTAAGAAGTACTGATTGTTAGGATGAAAAAAAAAATCTCAACCTTTAGTTCATATTATTGTTTGTTTCTGTTTATTTATTTTTGCATGGAATGAATATAACCCATAATGCTAAAGAAAAAGGAATCAGAAAAGCACCATCACAAATCTTCATGGTTACCTTCTATACATTTTGCCCCCTTTCTGATGCCCATTCAATGCTTCTCTGCTCTGTTCAACTTTCCAGAAAGTTTTGCGATGTGATTTGCTGGATTCATGGACGAGATGGCCCCTGATTTATGGCGCCTTCTCCTCCACCCCTTCACCTCTCCTAATTTTCTCCAAAAGCTTTCTGCAAGCCAAGTACATGTTCCACCACATGACAAAGTGTTGGCTTTCATAAGATGGGGCACCCCACTCACTTCATAATAGCGTCCGTCACGCTCACAGCCGCACTGCTCTAGCCGGAGACACTTGCTGCCGCTCTGATAGTAGCCATCATCACAGAAACATCCTTCAGAGCAAGCAGTGCCTCGGACACCCTGAAGCCAACTGGCAGAGCATTCTTTGCCCACAGCGTTGTTGCAGAGCTCATAATGGCTATGTTCTGAGCACTGAAAATCTAGGAGAAAAAGGACGGGACAATCTGAAAGGCAGCAATTTGTGGATGTCAGCAGGGAGACCTGTGTACTAGTCCAGATCTAGAAAGAAGTAGGGAGAAGGAGGGAGGGAAGAAGTAAGGGGTGCTAGAGGGAGTAGGAGAAAACCCCACCCAACACTGGCTTTGGCCCTTCCCACCACCAGCCCACCACCTCTAACAATGACCTTCAGCAGATGGAAAGTACCCTTCCCTTCTCTCTCTCTCATTGTCCATCCAGTCAGCCTTTCTGCCTAGCAATACTTTTGGAACTGCCTGAAGAATGGAGATGAAGAATGGCTTCTTCGTGGCATAACTACCTAAATCCATGAAAGATCCCCAGCCCTTCCTTTCAGCAAAGTGATATGGATGCTTCTGGCAAAAATTTTATAGGGTCACAAAAGGCCAGTTATTTTAGCCATCTCATTTGTTGTTATTGTAACATTACAGATGAGTATGAGAAGTAGTTGGGTATTTCCTCCCCCACCACAACCCATGTTCCTAAATACTTTGCCTATTTGGGGGACATTATGAATGTTCTTGTTCTGCTTCAGGCAATAAGTTCTTTTGAGCCAAACTTGTTCCAGGGGAGGGGACACAATGGAAGGTAAGTCGCTTCCAGTAGTAATGGCCCTATGCAAACTTGAAGTAGCTGCAGAAATACTATGCCTCTGAATGGGAACTGCAGGTGAAGCTTATTGCAACATTCAACCAAGAGCAATCTATCAGAGGGAAGATGGGACACCTGGTCTTCTGGACTTACAAACAGATAAGCCATGAAGATTCTTCACATAGTTGATTGCCCAAGAGCCTTCTCTGGATGCTTTGAACAACAACAACAATCAGCTCCAACCATTGGCCTCAGTAACTTAGTCTAAAGGAAGTTGTTGTCTAAAGCCTCCAGAGCAGGGATAAGCAGTACAGGATCCTGAAAATGGTGTTTATTCCACACAACCCAAGCCAGCCGGGCCAATGTCAGCACTTGCAATCCGCCCAAGTTCTAGATGACAACGGTAGATGAACTTTCACAGGTCGCCATGAGATGGGTCTTCATGGAAGATCTACTGTTGGATCCAGAAAACATGCTTTTCTAAGAAGCATATGTATCTCCTGTAGGGGAGCATTATCTATACCTAGTCTTCCTATATCACATAGCACAAAAACAAAATGGCATGTATGATACAGCCATAAGATACATACAGCAGAAAGTTTCACCCCTCCAGGCAGAAATGTTTAAGTTTTTTCTTTGGCAGGCTGCTGCATAGTTCTGAATGGAGTGGCACAGGACATTGTGATCCAATGCAGAGATGCAGAGGTCCAATATGCAATCATAAATATAGGGTTCAGGGTTAATCTGAGAGTGACAAGAAGCAAAGGGCCCATTGGGGTTTTGGATGATCCAGCATTTGTATTTTGCCTGAATGAGCTGTTGCTTCTCCAGACATACTGGGTAGGAATCCGTAGAGACATCCTTACAGCCAGTCCCTAATTTCCAGCTTGCAGCAAAATGGAAGACATCTTTTCCTAAAGAACCATTTGGCATCACAAAATCATCACTGGCAACCCTGTTGAAGTTTCCACAGAGCCCACAGGTTTGTCCCATGTATTGGGGAGGAAGGACAACAAAGAGGCTCTGCGTCAGGTCATAGCTCACAATCAGGTTGAATTTTGTTTTCAGCGTGATGTATATTCCATGCTGAAAAATGATGGTCTCTCCTTGATTGAGGTTCACTGGGAGGTTCACAGTGGCTCCGTTGATCTGATTTGAAGAAGCAAAGAAGATGGGAAGACTGGTTAATCTGGCCGCCCATCAAGAACAAACAACTCATCTGACTATGTTTACGCATTACAAGAAGCTTTAAAGGTTAAGATTCTTCAGTGCAAGAAAACCTCCCATTGTTTTTGCTCTCCCTTTACACCAGTGTTGTCCAAACTTGGCCACTTTAAGATGAGTGGACACCAATTGTGCACGTTCTCCCACTTAAAA